TTAGAAGCTCAACTCATTAAGTGTTGGAGAGGGTGGCCAGACATATTTTCTATTGCTTCTTGGATGGCTACTCTAGCTACAAACAAATAGAGATCGCTCTGGAGGATGAAGAGAATACCACATTCACGTGCCCCTTTGGTAATTATGGGTATCACCGAATGCCATTTGGTTTGTGCATTGCCCTGGGAACTTTTCAAAGATGAATGATGAGGGTATTCAGCGACATGGTGGAAAACATTGTGGAGGTTTTCATGGATAACTTTTCAGTATTTCGGGACTCGTTTGAAGGATGCTTGGAAATTTTGGAGAGAGTTCTAGAGAGATGTGAAGAGAAGAATTTTGTGATTAATTGGGAATAGTGTCACCTCATGGCAACAAAAGGGATTGTGCTTGGACACCGCAAAGGGAATCGAAGTGGACAAATCTAAAGTGAAAGCAATTTCCAACCTGCTCACTCCTAGGATCGTCAAAAACATTAGATCATTTCTTGGCCATGCATGTTTTTATCGTCGTTTCATTAAGGATTTTAGTGCATTGGCAAGACCTTTGATAAATTTGCTAGCAAAGGATGTCCCCTTCATATGGTCGGATGATTGTGAGGCATCTTTCAAAAAAAAAAAACTCAAAAGAATGCTTACTTCACCTCCAATCATGCGACCACCCAAGTGGGAACTACCATTTGAGCTCATATGCGATGGTTGTGATTACGCGGTCAGCGCAGTTCTAGGTCAAAGGGAAGACAACAAGCCATATGTAATATACTATACTAGAAAAACTTTAAATGAAATACAAATTAATTACACTACCACTGAAAAAGAGTTGTTCATTGTATGTAGTGTTTGCATTGGATAAATTTAGGTCATACATCATTGGTTCAGCTATTGTAGTCTACACTAATCATTCTGCTTTGAAGTATTTGTTGTCTAAGCAGGGTGCTAAACCGAGACTCATTAGGTGGATCCTCGTACTTTAAGAATTCAACCTGATCATCAAGGATAAGAAAGGAGTCGAGAATGTGGTGGTGGACCATTTGTCATGGCTTGTTGTCAAAGACGCCAAAGAGCACATCCCTGTCCCTGATTTTTTTCTTGATGAGCATTTATTTTCTATCCATTCAGTTTGTCTGTGGTATGTTGATATTTGCAATTTTCTTGCCATAGGACAAATACCCCCACATTGGAGCCTAAAAGATAAGAGAAGATTCATGGCGGATGTGAAGTACTCCTACTTTGACAAACCGTACCTATTTAAATATTGTCTTGATCAAGTCATGAGGAGGTGTGTACCCAAAAATGAACAATGGGATTCCCTTTCCTTCTGTCATTATGAGGCATGTGGTGCGTAGTTCTCTTCCAAGAAAACTTATGTCAAGATTTTACAAAGAGGATTTTATTAGCCTACATTGGTTAAAGAGTGTGTCTCATTTTGCAAACAAAGTGATAGGTGTCAAAAGTTGGGAACTATGACCCGTAGAAACATGATGCTCTCTCCCCCGTGCCAGTAATTCTTTGATTGTTGGGGCTCGATTTCATGGGTCCATTCCCTATGTCTTTTGGCTACCTTTATATCGTATTGGCATTGGACTATGTGTCCGAGTGGGTAGAGGCAATCCCAACCAAGACCAATGACCAACGAGTCGTGGTCAAGTTTTTAAAAGAAAACTTTTTTTTCAAGATTTGGGATACCTCATGCAATGATAAGTGATGGTGGTTCACATTTTTGCAATAGACCATTTGCTTCTTTGATGCATAAATATGGCGTAACACACAAGGCATCCACCGCTTATCACCAAGGTGTCCAAGCAAAAGGATTTGTCATTAAGATTGATCGATGCCTTTGTGGGCTTACTACACTGCCTATAAGACTATCCTTGGTATGTCCCCCTATCGGCTAGTCTACAGCAAGGCTTGTTACTCGCCAATGGAGATAGAGCACAAGGCATATTGGACCATAAAAATCTTAAATTTCAATTTGAGAATAGCTGGGCAACATAGGATGTTGAAGTTGAATGAATTGGTGGAAATTCATAGAGATGCATATGAGAGCTCTAAAATTCACAAAGAAAGGGCAAAAATTTTCCATGACAACTCCATTTTGAGAAAGACATTTGAGCCCAGCCAAAAAGTGCTATTGTATAATTCTCATCTCCATTTTTCAAGGAAAACTCCGACCACGAAGGGATGACCCCTACACTGTTAAGGTGACCTACCCAAATGGAGCTGTGGACATAGAAAACCTCGAAGATGGGAAAAATTCAAGGTCAATGGCCAAAGGCTTTAACCATTCTTCAAGGGTTTTGAAATTCAAACAGTGGAAGAGGAGTTGGTGAATCTGGTCTATACGGACCCTATTGAGGCATAACTATTCAATTAGATATTAGTGTACAATTGTTTTTCTTTATTCTTTACTTTGCAAGTTAAATTGTTTACTTACTTTCATCTATGCATAGTGTTCTCTCTTTGTGTGTGTAGATAATGGTGTTTTGTCAAAGCTCATTTCGAGTTGTTCTCTTACCCTTCTTGTCTTTTTAATTTCATTATTGCATCCCATATCTTTTGTTGCATTGAGGACAATGCATAGTTCAAGTTGGGGGTGAGGTGCACCATTTGTATGATACACTAATTTTTTTGCTGACAATACCATTTTTGTGGTGAAATGCACCATTCACATATGCTACCAATTTTTTGTATCGAATATTTTAAGTTGTTCAAAAATTTTAAATTTTTTTTTTTGTGGAAAATATCTTCGTGTTGAACCATATTCCCCTATTTAAATTGTTATGGGATGCAATGATGTGGAAAATTTTAAATTGTTGTGGAAAATATCTTCTTGTTGAACCATATTCGTGCTCTAAGATAGTTTTATCTTCACTTTGAACTTTGAATACATGAGTACATCATAGAAATTTATCCTATGCCTAAGTATTACATATGTATTTTCTTTCAAACGCAACCATAATGCACCTTGAATGTGTAATTTTGGCAATTTACTGATTGCATCCACATTTTAGAGCTTGACATACATAGTGGAGATAAAGTAAGTACCCATGTGAGCTTTAGTGCCAATCCTTGTTGGAGGGAACTTACATTTACTCAAAGGAACAACTTTTCAAATTCAAAATTTGTTCAATAATCTCATTATACTTATTTTGGTTAAAGTGCACATGGGTTGTTGACTGATTTTGTCTTAAAAATGTCAATATGCCTCCCCATCCTTGTCTAGAAAGGATCTTAGACCATCTTTGAATTGCATTGAGCATTAGCCTTTTTCTTGTGAAAAATTTATACCTAGTGTCGTGATTGAGCCTTAATTGAAAATTCGTTTCCATGCTACATGTTTTACCAAGCCTGAGCAAAATGCTTACAAGTACCACATCCTGGGTTTTTTCTGAGACTAACTGTGAGTAATCATGAAGAAAAAGGAAATGTGGTGAGGAAACCTAAAAAGGGATGTATGGTGCTGAATTCGAATTTTGAATGAAAAAGAAAAGAAAAATCCAAGAAAAAAGGAGAAAAAGGGGTTTGGAAAAGAAAAGAAATGAAAAGAAAAGAATAGAGAAGAAAAATGTTGAGGAAAGACGAAGAAAAAGAGACATAAAAGTGAAGTGAAGGTGTAAAGCTGAAAATTCCACAAACAAATGAGATTTTTTATAATAAAGGTCAAGCCCTCAGAATAGCCCTTTTTGTCTCCCTCTACCCTTCATTTCACTCTGCCCAAGTATCACCCAAGGCCTCATTACAATACTTGAAAGCCCAAAATGATCTAGAGAAAGGATAGTGAGAACACACTTTAAATGAAAAGAAAAGTTGGTTTTTCTATCTAGTGCCCTGACATTCCATTCATGACAATATGCCAAGGTCGTTCCAATTACTTTGCATGCACATCATTTTGGATTATATGTGAGCATTTTGGATTGTGCACAACATTTTATCTCACATATACACATAGAGAGCATGCCAGGATAATCAGAGTTATTCATTTTTTAGAGAAACCCTTGGTGAGTTTTGCATCAAAGCTGAATTTTGATAGTTAAGTGAATGTGGATTCCATTGTGTAAATGCTTAAATTATATGTTCATTTCACACACTCCCGAGTTTGAAAATAAATGTGTAGGTGTATAGTCTAGAATAGCATTTAAAGCTATGATGAAACTCATGTGTGCTTGGTTTGGTTGTTTGAAAAATTATGTCAAGCAACCCTCTCAGCTTGTAGGATAAGGGAATATTGCTCAAATTTTAGATATGAGAAAGGAAGAGGAATGCCTTTTGTACTTTAGTTTGTGTTTTACATATTGGGTGTTCATTTTGTTGAATTTAGAATTCCATGTCATGCGCTTTAAAAGCATCAAAACTCAAATTGCATTGCAATTTCGTAAATGAATTTGGGCATGGTCACACATTGTGGTTCACTAGCATGGATCATGTTTTTTGTGGCGTTGAGTTAGTAAATATGTCACTAGAATTTGTTGGAGTCGAATAAACTTGGAGTGGGGGGTGCGGATGAGAGCGTAGTAAAATGTTTGCAAAAAGTTCAAACCTACTGGTAGAATTTGACAAAAACGTATTGGTAGATATTTTCCAGAAGAATTTCCTACTGGTAGACAAATTCCAGTGCACTGTTCTACCGGTAGAACCCTGATGACCTACTGGTAGGTTTTGCCCAAAAAACTAAAACAAGTGTTTTTAACCCAAAAATTCAGTGAAACCCTTCACATTCTTCATTCATCTCAACCTTAAAAACCTTCTCTCGTCTCTCAAAACCCTTCAAATACTCAAAGAAACTTTGGGCATTCATCAAATCACCTGAAAATCATTCCCAAGTTTTTGATTCGCAACGATTACTTCTCATTTCTTTGACCTCTACCCCACAAAAACACTTCTTTCCTCCACAAAGCATCACCAAACCATCAAAAACCTCGATTTTCATTCAAAGCTTGGAATTTGGAGGAATGGCTCAATTGGGTAAGACTTCCAATCCAAATTTTGACATTTTTTATGTAGTGTGGGTTTGGTTATGGCTCGTACCACTCAAACAGGTCCTGGCTCTCCACTACCCGCGGGAACCGGATCCTGCAAGAGGACCGAGGAGGCAGGCCCCAGTGGTGGGGAACAAAGGCATATGAGAAATAATGACCCTCGCACAGAAAGTATAAAGGGGCAACAATGTGATGTGTGAGCGGTAGGCAAATAGGCCCGCGAAGTGGTCCGAGTGATAGAGGGCCTTGACATAAATGTTTGGTTCGAGCCTATGGGAGCATTACATTATGAGAGACCTCCCAACACCACAGTTTACCCTTTCAACAGCCATGGAAGGAAGTCACTCCAAGAATGCGCAAGTTTGATGTTTGAGGACCTGGTGATGTGAAACCCGCCAAACATAACGAGATCCAACAACGAAAAGGAACCCAATATCGTTCTACGATCAAATTTGAATGATAGACCTCGACCCATTGTTTACGACAAACAAGAACCTTGTTATATATGACCTCAACCAGCTGTTTGTTATGAAACAAGAACCTTGGTATGAGGAAGATGCCACAAAAGGTGGTGGAAACCCGTTTGATAAGTTGCTGGTGAACGCCATAGAAAAATCCTGATAAGTTCGTTTAGTTCTTCAAACAACCGTAGAGAAAACACTCGAATTTTACTAAATAGTGATCTGCCCCTTTTCATTCATTAAATGCCTATTTATAAGGTTGGCCATTATAAGGAAACAAATCCTAATCTACTAAGAAAATAAATCCTAATAGGAGTTCATATTTTGACAAGTATTCTTAAACAAGCCAATTTAAGCTTAGTCGTGGTCCGATTCTTCTAGAACTTGAATCGTATTGATGAATCTTTCTTACTCACGTGGATCATGCTCAATGGGTCTCCACGAACTTGCTTGAGTCCATGCCTATTGAATCAGTCCGTTGAGTACATCTTAAAAATTCCTTACTCGTGCACTTGTAACCGGCCCAATTGGGACTTATCCCTTGAAGTTGTGCTATGATTTGCATCACCTGGCTTAGTTTAAGGGAAAAATCTAAGTTGGGACACTCAAGCACTCTTATGGGGTAATGAACAAAGTGCTCCATTACAATTTGTTGCCTCGGGGTGCAAAGAAGACTCTGGGGGAGGAGAAGCTAGCCCTTCTCCATGCTTTCATGTCAGGCAAGAGGATGAACATTGCCTTCATGATTTGAGAGGTGATGAAGGAATACGCCCAAGATAAGAAGCCGAACGCAAATCTTCCTTACGCCCACCCTGTCAAGAAGATCTACCGCCATAACAAGGTAAAGGGCATTCCCACAGATGTGACTCTTCCACCGGAGTTTGGCCGCATTGGCAAGTCAAGTAGCATGCAAAGGTCACCCATGATAGGGGGTCTGCTCAAAGGGAGGAGAAAGTTATGCCACCGAGGGTAGAGCCACCTACAACTGCACCTTCCACCTTCGAGCCATCTATTTCTACCCCACCTTTGACGGTATCCCAACGCCTTGATGCGATCGAGGGACGGTTGGACGACTTCAGTGGAACTATGCAGCTTCTAAAGGTGATGGTCACTAGGATCTTCGAGAGGACATTTCCAGGAGAGCCTTTCCCCTAAGTGCCACCACCTTCCACCTCTGGGCCCTCCACTTTTGCCCCCACTGGCTTGACTGTTGTACAGGTGGAGGAGACCGATGATGAGGAGTCTGATGACGAGGAGGGCGATGATGATGAGTGTGCTAATGATGAGTCGGGTGACGATGAGGAGGAGAAGAGAGAGCTTACACTCATTTTTGTTGTTTTTGGTTGATTGTACATAGTGGATTAGTGGTATTCAGCCTAATAGAAGAGTCCTTAGGATCACAGACCATTTTTTTTTCTTAAGATCAATGTGTTGAACCTCATGCAATTATGAATGAAAGAACCACTTTTTATTTGTTTCATTTTGCCCCAAGTTCATTTACATAGTGAATGGAATTGTTTTTTTATGTAGTCTAGTTTGAAAATAAAGTTTGCTAGGGACTAGCAAAACTCAAGTTGGGGGTGTGATGAGTATAGAATTTTGCACATCATGCATCCTTATTGCACCCATTTTACATGTTTTGTGGTGAAAATTGGGAGAAATGGTTTCAAATTTACAATTATTGGAGATTTGTGTGATTGTAAGTAAAGAGCAGGTAAGGTCATGTATTATAAAGCATCCCATCAAGTGCTCAAAGTCAATGGGGAAGAAGGGACAGCTTAACGGATGGCTCGGGACCTAAAAGAACCAAGGAAATTCCAAAACAGGATGAAATCTATTAGTAGAAGGCAACCAAGACCTACCAGTAGAAGTCATTCAAGACCTACCGTAGAAAACTCAATACCTACTGGTAGAAAATGATATTGAAAATCTTCTACCTCTGCCATGCAAAAACCTACCGGTAGAAAAGCTTACTAGAAAAAACCTAGCGGTAGGTTTTCTATGTTCTACCAATAGGTTTTGCCCAAATCTGTCAGACACCTCTTCACATGACTCCACCTACTCCGGGGGCCCACCTCTTGTCCTCTAAACCATACCTTGCCATGTTTGACACCCCATAATGCTCTCTTAACCTCTAAGTTAAATTTGAAGTAACAGAGGAGGGAGAAGCAAGAGAGAAGAGGGGTGGTTGGGAAAGCATAGGAGGAGCATGCTTGGATTGAAATTGCTTGTTCAAGTGGACAACCTCTCTCCAATCATTCCAATTCAGTTCACACATGGTAAGGGAGAGAGGATGGATCAAAATGAAGGGTCCTACAAAATTATTTAGATTTTACATGCTTTTAGAAAGAGAAGCTCCAAGGTTGAAGATGAAGTTTTAGAGAGAGAAGTTGGGTTTTTACATTTCCTTCACCATTTTCATTGTAGTAAGTATTATTTTACTTGTAATATTTCCCTCTTTCACTCTAAACTCTTTTATTCAAGTTGTAAATCAGCTTAGCTAAGTGTCCTTGTATTTTCATTTCTACATTTGGGTATTTTCTCTTCAAGCTTTGTATTTTGGGTATGAATGACTTTGCTCATGTAGTTTAAACCTTTTCTTGCATCAATACAAGTTTCTTGTTTCATTTCACTACTATGTTTTTTTACATTATGTTTATTCTTGTCTTTACCATGAGTAGCTAAATTTTCAGTTGGCTAATCCAAGGGGAATTTTCTCTTGGGTATGTGAAATTGACTCTCTTTCATTCTTCCTCATAGTGTAAAGTATTTGGTTTGACTAGGTTGAGTGCGGACATGGTTATGGGCTCTTGACACACTGTAGACTTGTCACGGGGTATGCTTTTGTCCAACACAACCACATTAGTCCCCCACTTCCTTCGAATCAATCAAACACCATGACACCATTGGTTGAATGTATTGAGTCGATTTGGCATGCCCATTGTAATGACCTCTATGGATTAGCCAACCTTGCATTCTTGCATTTTTACCAAAACACAATTCTCCAAAAACACAACTCAAAAGATTTTCCAATTTTCATTTCTTTATAAATCACCCTTCAAAAACATTTGACATTTCCTTCCCTGAGGAGACGATCATGGAATATCCATTCCAAGTAAAACACGATATTGCAAGACTCTCTATACTTGTGGAGCACTTTTGCACACACACGTTTTTGTTCACACATGATTTTTTTGATTTCTTGCATTGAACCTGAGAGACTAACACTCACCAATTCGTATAAGCCATATACACACACTACGGGTTCAAGTGTTTAAGATTAGGGAAAATGATTCATGCACCTGGTTGGGAATTTGGACCTTCAGAGTATTCTCAAAGTAGATTCTTTCTAGTTCCTCATCTATGGGGAACCCCTACCCCTTCTCTTCGTAAGTAGGTTTTCTTCGGTGTATTGTAACATACAATTTTCATTAGGCTTTGACCTTTTGCCCTTTTGGAACACATGTAAATCAAATTCTCTACCCCCCTTAAGTTGAAACTCCAAGTCAAGAAAGCTCCTAACTATGCCATATAAGATCTCTCCTGAGGGACTAATGTTGATGGCCCGGCAATCAACGCACATTCTCCACGTCCAATCCTTCTTAGGTACAAGTAGAACCGGAACTGCGCATGGGCTCATGCTCTCCCTCACGTGCCCTTTCTCCAACAACTCACTTACCTGCCGTTGAAGCTCCTTTGTCTCCTCATGATTGCTCCTATAGGCTGGTCGGTTTGGAATTGTCGCACCGGGAACAAAATCAATTTGATGTTCAATCCCTCGGATTGGAGGTAACCCATATGGTGGTTGCTCGGGAAAGACATCCTTATACTCCTGCAAAAGAGAAACAACAGAACTAGGCAAAGCAAGGTCAAATTCATTAGTGTTTAAAAGAGCCTCTTTGTACAAAAGTACAATCATCGGCTGATTTGAAAACATGGCTCGCATAATCTCACTCACTTTTGCATAGAAAATATTTTGTTTTCTCTCTGATTTTTTTTCAATGGCCGCATTTTGATTTTCTTTTTCTCTCTCATTTTTCTCAGCCTCTCTTTGATTTTCACTCTTTTTCTTGTTCTTTGGTTCACTCTCTTTCTTTTGTTCACTCTCTTTCTTTTGATCACTCTCTTTTTGCAATCTCACTTGATCCTCATACACTTGCTGCAATGTCAATGGTACAAGAGTGATTGATCGGTGATTAAGCACAAAGGCGTATTTGTTCGTAAAGCCATCATGCTTCACATGCCTATCAAACTTCCATGGACGCCCTAGCAATAAGTGTCCCGCTTGCATCGGTACTACATCACACAGCACTTTATCTTTGTACTTACCAATTTGGAATGCAACTAACACCTGCTTGTTCACCCTTATCTCACCACTATCATTTAACCATTGCAACTTATACGATTTAGGGTGCTTCAACACCGGTAGTCCTAATTTCTCCACCATAATTGTGCTTCCAACATTAGTACAACTACCACCATCAATAATCACACTACACACCGTGTCTTTGATGTATCACCTAGTGTGAAGGATGTTCTTCCGCTGCACTTCATCAACCTCTTTGGCATGTACGCTCAATGCTCTCCTCGCCACCAATGTCAATGCATCAGGGGCTAAATATTCCTCCTCGGGAACGTCCTCCAATGGTGGCATGTCATCGGTGTCGGAATCTTCATTGTTGGTCACATTTTCACCATTGTCTTACAACACCATGACCTGCTTGTTTGGACATTGACTT